TCTCCGTCCTTCCCCCTCCCCCCTCTGTTCCCACCCCCAATCCACTCCTCCTCCTCCTGTTTAGAAAAGGGCAGGTCTCCCGTGAGTATCAACAAGACACGGCATATCAAATTACAGTAAGACTAAGCACCTCCTCATGTATTGAGACTGGGCATGGTGACCCAGTATGAGGAGTCAGGTCCCAAAAATATTTTTAAAAAAAACAAAACATTAAAGAGGATGTTCATGAAGTCTCAAATCAGTAAAAGTCAAGACTATAGAAGTTTCCAGACAGAGGGAAAATCATATTAAAAGAAAGAGCTTTTGTCAAGGTGTTGTGGGATTCCAGAAAGCAGGGGACTATCGTTGTCAACACTGTGACGTGAAATTATGCTTGCCTAAGAGTTTCATGTGCAATCAAATCACCACAGAACTATGAGGGTAGAAATAACGATGGTTTCTGAGGACTCTGATGTTTATCTTTCTGTAGACAACAAACCAGGGAAGAAGGAATTCAGGAAAGAGGAGTAGGGTGGAGGACGGCGATGAGGCTCTAGAATGATAACGGCTCCCTGCAGCTCCAGACTCAACCGCCTCGATTAGATCAAGACGATGAGAGGTATGGCAGCAAGGTGGGAGGGGAAAAGGAACTACTAGGTTTAATTTAGCATTTCAAGGCTTTAAAAAAATATTCTTGCTGGGCAGTAGTGGCGCACGCCTTTAATCCCAGCACTCAGGAGGCAGAGCCAGGCAGGTCTCTATAAGTTCAAGGCCAGCCTGGTCTACAGAGAAAGTTCCAGGACAGCCAGGACTACACAGAGAAACCCTGTCTCAAAAAACAAAAACAAAAACAAAAACAAAACAAAAGACCTGCAGTGAGAGAAATGGGGAAGAGAAGTGGAGGTGGAGGCTGAGAAGATCTCCATCGTCAACTCCCTCAACAGCATGTCAGCAACGTCATAAACTGAAGAGCAAATGAGCCAACTACATAAACACAAGGATGAGTAAGATGAAGAAGCTAAGACAGCTGTGAAAACACCAGCCGGGAGGACAGCCTGGGGGAGAGACGAGCAGAGGGACATTATGTCTTACCTCAGTCTTCCTAAATGATTTAAAGATTATACATATAATCTTTAATAAAAAAGTGAATCAAAACACTGGCATGTACTTTTCCAACAGAATTGGCAGTGTTTTGTCCAAAGGAATATTGTGTTTATACTTTCCCTACGTACCACAGAGCTACCCTCCAGGAGTTACCGTCAGCCACACACCCACCATCACCGCACATCACTCATTCCTTGATGTCTTCCTTAACCTAGATTATTTAAAAAAAATACGTTTTGGTTGTTTTAAAAATTCTTAACATTTTTAAGGTGTGTGTGTGTGTGTGTGTGTGTGTGTGTGTGTGTGTGTGTGTGTGTGTGTGTGTGTTTAAATCATGCCTTTGCATGGTCCTACAACAACCAGGGTCTGTGTTGATGTCTGTGGCCCGTGGTGCCACAAAAACCCACATAGATGCTGGGGTCTAGGCTGCAACCTGTGGCCCTGTTGGCACCTGAGGGCCATGCTGCCGCTGGCACCACACCGGTCTGATGACCTGTGATGTCACTTGGGGCCATGATGTTGTATGGGCCAGAGCTGGTGCCAAGGGCCATGCCTGGGTCTGTGACCCTAACACAGTCAGGGTCTGCGTTCATGTCTGGCTTCTGATACCATTGAAGGTCATGACGATGCCAGGGGTCTGGGCTTCCACCTGGGACCATGTTGGTGTCTGAGGGCCACGCTGTCTTGGTGACCATGCGGATCTGAGTGACCTACACTGCCACCTGGGGCCATGGTGACATCTGGGCCCAGGCTACTACCAAGGACCAGGTCTGAGTCCGTGGTCTGTGTTGATGCCCAACATGGCCACAGGTTTCAGCCTAGACCCCAAGTATCCATGTGACCTTTGGTGTCAACGTGGGCCACACCCAGGTTCTATGTTGATGTCTGTGGCCCATAGTAACACCAAAGGCCACATGGATACTTGGGGTCTAGGCCAAAACCTGTGGCCATGTTGGCGTCAGAGGGCCATACCACCACTGGGGCCATGCTGAACTGGATGGCTTATGCTGCTCCTGGGACCATGGTGACATCCAGGCCTTAGCTGCTGCTGAGGGCCAAGTCTGGGTCTGTGTTTCTGCTACAGCTGGGGTCTGTGATGATGTCCATGGTCCATATTGCCATAGGAGGTCATAAGAACCGTGTGTGTTGAAATCACACACACATACATACACACACACACACACACACACACACACACACACACACACACACACACGCACACACACACACTCAAATAAATGTAATACAAAATGTTTTGCAAAAAAGCAAATCAAAACATAATCAGCCACCGAGGAAGACATCAAACCTACAGCTGTTCATGGATGTGCCAAAAAGTCCTGTTTATCCAGAGTGAACTAAATTTTCAGTGCAAAACAAGGGCATTTTAAATATTTCATACATTACCCATTTTTTCCTTCTCTGCTTCCTCCCTCTATTCATTAATTCAACACAATCCCACAGAAAGACAGCTGATTTCACTTCTTTCTGTGGTGAGACTGTCATGGAGTCTGGATAGTTTAGGTTTGTATGTATTCATGACCAGCATACTGGTCTTTCAGTGGACTTGGAGAACTTAGCTTCCTTCTGATGTTTATTCTCCCACTGATGAAGGCCAGCATCAGGATGTATTCGAGGCTGTAGGACAGTAGCTACCTATCCCTGGACCCTAGAATCTTTCCAGTAGGCCACAGAAAAGATACTTCTCTCCCTAGATTGTCAGTGGTAACAAAACAGCTTCCCTAAATGGGCTTCCTTAGAGAGTTAGAGAAAATAAGACCTAGCCAAGTGTGTATACGAGCTTCTCAAGGGAGAGTTGCAATTATTTATTTATTTATTATTTATTTATTACTTATTTATGGCTTTTCAAGAAAGGGTTCCTCTATGTAGTTTTGGTGCCTGTCCTGGATCTCACTCTGTAGCCCAGGCTGGCCTCGAACTCACAGAGATCCGCCTGGCTCTGCCTCCCGAGTGCTGGGATTA